TAGAGCTTGAAAGATCAAAGACAATTTTTAATATAACTCCGACTGGATTCGTCTGAAAGAAGAAAGTCATATACACACGATGCCTCGGGGGTGAGTGAAACGCAGCCTAATTTTCATTCTGAGGTGAACTAACCCTTTAAGTCCCTTTAATATTCTTTGCTCAGTTGTCAGAAACCCTTTTTGAACAAAGAAATGCACAATCCAGATTTAAATTGTTGTAATTGATGAACGCTTTGGAATAAAAACCTAAGGTTTGTAAAAACTAGGGATGCTCCGATCCGCCTTTTTCGCCTCCGATACCTTCAGTTACTGTGCACGTTAAAAACAATTTAGTCTTTTCTACACCCGTGTTTTGTTCTCACAGACACCCGGTAGCAAGTAACAAAACAACATTAAACTCCGGCAAGAAGATAAAGTCCTTTTTGCAAAATCATGTATTTGTATTTACAAATCAAGTATAATGGGAACACAGAATGATCTTGGCGAGAGCTTTACCGAGCTGACTGCTGTAACCGGACGCGACCAGGGTTTAAAGGCTGAACGAATGACTGACAGCCACAGCGGAGAACCGAGAAAAATGGCACTATCGGAGCCGATACCCGATATGAATATCGGATCGGCGCATCCCTAGTAAAAACAAAGCCATATTTCTAATTAAGTTATGTTCCAAATTTGAAGTTGATATTAAAAAACTGAGGTTCCTGTGGGATTTTGTTTAGGCACTATACCAAAAGTAGCCACCATTGAATTTTTATGAATAGTCCTTTCACAAATCTATACATTTCTGTCACAATATTACTTCTATCACAAAATATGGAAAAAAAAAAATGGAACCTTGAGACTCCTTTCCAATGATATGTGTTTTTTCAAGATTAGAAAATGTTTTGGTTTATAAAATATTGTAGTAAATTTTGTAATATGACACTTGACACCGCCCACTAGGGGGAGGAGAGATTTTCATGGTAATGCAATGTCTGATTTCAAAACCGTTTTCACAGGATGAATTTTGAGTGTTTAAACTTTCGAAAGATTAAAAAAATATGATGATTACTAAAATATGTGATAGGAAAAAAGGCAATAAAAAAAGCGCAAAGTTAGCAAGTTAACCTTTTAACTTTTAGAAAAAATATAAAAGAAAATATAAAATCTAAAAATCAATTTGAATATGTTGTTGTTGTTGTTGTTGTTTTTTGATCATGTTGATTATGTTGACTTTAGAAATGTGTGTATCAGATATGATAGAGTAGGCTTTATTGGGTTTTCACTATAGTCTGTCGGAAGTTGGATTGCTTGGAAAAGCAAAAGCACAGCTCTCCTCAACACGCCACTTGATTTGCGGCATCGTTCTTGTCTGTACGTAAGTTTAATACTTTGGGTTAAGAATTTGAACAGTTTGAACTCAAGTATGAGTATTATAAACAGTGACGCTTTCCTTAGCAAGCACCACCAATTAGACGAACAAACCATTTGTTGTGATTGAGAACAAGCATGTAAGTTTCTATAAATGGAGGTCAGTTAAGCCCATGAGGAAGATCCTCAATAAGTTGCCTGTGATCTCAAGAGGCTTTTTAAAGGACCATCCCACAAACGGGTAAAAAAGCACGACAACAGACTTGATTTACAGTGCGTAAGTGAAAGCTTTTGTCATTATGCGCTTGCTGTGTTGTCCTGCTCCACTCCCATCTACTCTTACTCAGCAACAAGTTGTCTCTTTAGTGTCATGTCACCAGAGCAATGTGCGGAGCCACGGTGACCCAAGTTCCCTTACATTTACTGGGTGGCCTCTCCCTCACCCAGGAAAAGAGAAATAGAGATTGGGGGAGGGCAAATGACACAGAAAAGGAGAGAGAAAATAGAAGGAGAGACCTCCAGCCACTTTGAAGCTTCTCTCTGGTTCCTGTGTCTGGTTGCTCCCCCGTGGGACAAAAGGCCTTTATGTGTGGCTCAGGCAGGGGGCTGTAAGGGGGTATTGTGGGACTGGGGCGGTGAGCGGCAGGGCTAGATCCCCCCGTCTATTGATCTGTATGGTCCATTCTGCCTCACCCCCTCCACCACAGCCAGGCTTACCAGCTGTCTGCTCTACGCCTCTCCCAGCCCGGCCACAAAGACACACACAGATCATATGGGCGCAGGCATTAGCATACTTATTGGACCCAAGGCTTAAAGGAGCTTCATGGAGCCATGCATGAGATATATATATATATATTGTTGTGCACGGGTATGGACGGAAACCACTTGATTTGCTTAAAGGTGACCAGTGAGTGCATGTAGCATGATAACAAAACATCAAAGTACCTTCTCAGTGGTTGACCTACAATTTGTGGTGTGACCTTTGCGCACTTGCATACATTGGTTTACTTTTATGCAAGTCATATATTATGCAATGTCTATATAGGGTCAAAATTAGTGACTAGTGTTGAAGAGGTTTACTTTGGCAACTGCGTTGCATTCATCTACACACATAAGAAATCTGTAGTGTATAAAGTTTCTTGTGCTGCATATAAAAACTTGAATGTCATGCTTCCAGTATATGTTGGTGTAACATTGCAATATTTTTCAATAAGGCTACACAAGCATACTCAGTGCAGGTATTGCTGCATTCAAGTTGTTGAATGCACAGTAATGCTACCACAATGTTGTAATTACGACTGGGAAACTCCGAACTTTCTTTAAGCACCAAGTTTTTAAGGGGCTGTGTTAGTGAGAAAATATGATGGATGTAATAGAATGTAGCATCTGTATTGATGGAGTGAAGTAGTTTGAACCTTCCTGAAGTTAAATTATCAACATGCTTATAGCCAGCTGATCAAATAATAACGCATCCATTTGATGGACCCTCTTGAAGACTGAGGTGTGTCTCTGTCTGAATGAGTGGGACTACACTTAGTTTACACTTAGTCTCTGTGTGTATGTGCTGTACATGTGGAAGAATTGACAATAAAGCAGACTTGACTTGACTTGACTTACTCATGTTTTCAGCGTCTGCTGTCTCACTGTATGGGGACAGTCCTCATGAACTTCATCTCCAGAGCTGCTCTGAGAGTCACTTCACTGGCATTTCACTATTTCATTTGATAATTATTGTC